TGAACCAGCTAATCAAGCTCTTGCTAGGCATACTAGAAACTTAAAGGCAGGTGTGTTGTGGCAAGTTGGAGCTAAACTCTGCAGGACACCGGCCCTCCAGGACCGAGTTTGGGCATCCCTGCTCTAAATGCAATGAACGTCATCACATCTGATTCATGCAAAATGACTCTTTTGAACTGAGTCAGTCAAAAAGATTCACCTGTTTTACTTGGTTTGAATGAGTCATTAAATCGTGAATAAGTTCACAACACAAGTTCAAGTTATTGTCATTCAACCCAGACAGAATTTTTTTTTTTCGAAGTTGTAAATAAAAGTAATTTGACTCCTAAATGTAAAATTTTTGTCTGGAGCCTTAGGAATCTTTTGTGAAAATGAGTCATTGCAAACACTGAAATGTGTAAATGACTCTGTTGTGAAAGTGGCGTGCTTAATTGTTTTTTCCATCATGATCTTCTCTGGTAGGAGTGTGGATGATGTTTATGTGATACGGATGGCAGCACTGTGTTGAAGGCTCGGCCATCTGTGTGGTTCAGTCTCTTCATTGCTGTCTTTGTTTCTGCTAGCACCGCTAGCTGACGAGGCCCGTCACTCTCTCCCACGCACTGGATGTGCGAGAACGCAGTGCTGCTGCGAGTTCCCTCCCCCCCATGTCAGTCAGACGCCTTCAAGCAAGGGCAAAAACAATAATAAACACTTCAGCGTGATATGTATCACGACATAGACACACAACCTGCTGGCAATTACAGACTCTCTTGTGTTTGTCTGTTTGTGAGAACACAACAGAGACGGAGAACTGAATTTTATTTTCTGAAGAAGTAACTGAAGGTCCCCAGAGGGCATCATATCGAAGCGTTTTCATGATGTTTGTTCTCTGTCGAGCATGAGGGTCTTTCTTTACTGATCAGATGGGTACAAAAACATGATTTAGCCATGGAAACACGTTAGAGGCTCAGAAATGTTGAAGCAGAGGTGAACAGTTCAGACGGGCCTCTGACAATTGCAGAATGGAGACTGAGTAGACGTAACTGTTTCTTCAGAACACATAGATCGATGCTAAATGTCCTCTTAAAGGAAGAGTTGACATACAAATTCTGACATGCTGTTACTCACTATCATGTTGTTGCAAATACATCAGTGGCGTTCCGTCCATATAAACTGCGAATGCTCCGCATACCCAGGCCATTTGAGAGAATAAGTTCACAGGATAATTCATATAAACATGATTATAAGTTGATCCCTTGTCATTTGAAATGTAACTTAAAGCTTAAAGAGTTAGGAATAAGGACGTAAAATGATTTTTTTGCCAAACTGCAGTAATTTTCTGTAAATCTACGTCAGTTAGGCCTGTCGCAATAATAAATATATCGACTTGTCGCGCAATATACGTACATATATGTACATGACCTCAATCATTTTTGGTGACGCAATATATCGCCTAGGGCTGTAGCATAAATCTGCATGATTAAGTGACTCCAGTTATAAGCAAACAATGAACCACGTCAAGTGTGATACAAGTAAGGTTTTATTAACTACATAAACACTTAAACTAGTCTAACATACTACATAAACACATAAACTGGTCTAACATCCTACATAAACACATAAACTGGTCTAGCATCCTACATAAACACATAAACTGGTCTAGCATCCTACATAAACACATAAACTGGTCTAGCATCCTACATAAACACATAAACTGGTCTAGCATCCTACATAAACACATAAACTGGTCTAGCATCCTACATAAACACATAAACTGGTCTAGCATCCTACATAAACACATAAACTGGTCTAGCATCCTACATAAACACATAAACTGGTCTAACATACACATACACACACACACACACGCATACAGTTGGTAAAGGAAAGGGTTAAAGCTTAACTCAGTACAGAAAGAGACATAAGGAATTACATTTATGGAACCATTTGCATATTCAGCAGATCTACACCTGAGGGAAACGTCAGATTCTTAGTTCAAACACACCTTGGTAAAAAGGTGCAACTGATACCTAATATATCAATTAATAAGACTAAGTTTGATACTTGCAAGTCTCGTCTGTCTGAAAATACATTCCTGATGCAATCTTAATTAAGGCCCAAGATCTTGCTGAAGTTGGTTGATGAGAAAGAACCAGTTTGAGTCAGAGAATCTTGGTGAAATGAAAGGACAAGGCCGAGGCCTGGCACGAGCTTAGGGTTTCCGGGAGCGTTTTTCTCACATCCTCTCAGACTTCAAACAAACCACTGACATGGGTGGGTCACATGAAGTGCGGCCTTTAAAGCCTGCAAAGATTCACACCTCTACTGATACTGGGGCATTTTTATGGCCCTTTGTTTGAAAGCATGGTAATTTGCATATGAAACTTGGATAAAAATTACTAAAGACTCTTAGAACACTAATATGTTGCGTAGGTGTAAACATACAATATACACTCTCAATTAGATCATCCGAATACGAATTCATAGAGACTAAACATGGTAGAATTATATATATGTAAGCTGACAGGAGTGTGTTTCGATTATAAGCCTGCATAACAGTATACAATTTCAAAGACAAAATACACGATGACAATAATATACCCAATGACCTGAAGGATCATGTGTGTTCATTCAAAGAAAGGTTTTCCTATTAATTAATTAGCAAAGAAAAGTCCTTTCCTTGTGGATTTTCCTTATGGGCAAGGAAGCGATTTTCTTCACCTAAATTCCAGGAGGTCGTAAATAACCAGGGGCCTGTTCGGCTTCCTGGGGTGTTACAGAGTATTTGTTAAATCTAGCTAACAAAATATATATTGTGTGTTTGAGTGGTCCAGACGCTACACAGTTTTGCAATACTTTTGATGGCTGCCACCAGTTCTTTCCCCACTCTAAATTATTGATGGATCATGGAATAAGTTCTCTCTCAATGTCCCCTTTTAAGTACAAAGATGCAGAAGACAGGCCAATGTGTAATCCATTTCTGTTTTAGCTAACCGATCAAACTATCGATTGTAGAATGCCACTTTAAAAGATTCAGTGACAGATGTGCAGCTGGGAGATGTGACAAAATTCTGCAGCGTCTCGCTGTGGTTATTCTATAACCTCCAGCAACTTTCCCTGCTGTCAGATCTGAGAATATTTTTTCCCTCCATAAACTAAAAAGAATGAGGAAAAGATTGATGTAGCCTGTAAAAAGGAATTGATGATGCAATATCTCGTTTACGGTAGAAAGAGGCTATTAATGGCCCACTAATCCTCTCTGACAGCCAAATATCATTTGTTGGGTTTATATGGCTCTGCGATGCTGGAAAATATTTCATATTAGATGAAACACAAGTTTTAGCCTTAAATTCCTCTGGAAGGAAATCAAGGAAAACTGCTCAAGGAAAACTCTTGTGATGATGCAAGTTTCTTTTTGGAAAGTTGCTGCACTGACCATTATGAAGCAAAATTTGGCTCACAGAATCAAGCGCTTACCTTGATCTGAATGAAACACTCTCCTCATTCACACTGTATCCGAAATGAACACCAGCACAGACAAAAATAGCTAACATTCAAGAATAGCTAGTGATTTGTGACTATGCAGATCTTTTACATAGAAATATATATTTTTTATCTATTCATAATAAAATAATTAATAATAATAATTCTATTAATAGAATGCTATAATTAAAGTAGTCCAGTAAACATTCCAGTAGTCCAGTAAACGATTTATAACAGAAATAATCCACAAAAGAAAGGACACGCATGATTATTGTGGCTAAACAAGCATATCCATGTAAAATTAAGCACGGCAATATTCTTTCTCTCCCTGTCTGTGCAAAACTGCAAAAGGCTTTAACTATCAAAGATTATTACTGGATGTATCAGTTTTCCTTTTCTTTTTCCAAAGATGGAGAAAGTTATGTGTAAGTTTATATAATATTAAGCTCTTTTTCATTCTAAGAAGAAAATTGCAGATTCTGACTGTTTACTTTAAATGTCATCCAGAGATTTAATACATTTGTTATTTTGGTTAATAAACAATCAAATCTTTTGTAATCATACATTTTTAAATAATTGTTTATTTAATACACAGTGTAGTTAATCGTTTCCCCCCCATTATTTTGAAAGGTAATATTTTGTGGACCCATAATTGTTCCAATAAAATGAAATTATACCCTGTTTGAAAGGATGCAAAGTCCCTGTTGATTAGATTTAGATGGGGTAAGTGCATACTTCTGTCCAAAGATGGCACTGTCTAGCAAAATTACTACTGGACTAGTAATTTGCAGCTGGTTGTAAAATAAAGGACAATAAAATCAGATTTACTTGTAAATGGATTTTACATATCATGAGGGAGTCTTGTCTTCACTGAAAAAAAAAAAAGCTAATTATATACATAGAATGGTCATAGCGCTAAGCACGTGAACTTCATATAACATCCTTTCATAAGATCTTTGTTGTTTCTGAAAAAGCTTAAAGGTTAAATTTAGAAAATGTATCTTTGTTATGTTTTATGTGATTTTGCCACGGAATTCTTCTTTGACATTTGCACGTTTTATGCAGTGCAAAAAGTGATTGCACACAAATGCGTGTGTTTATTGTGAACAACTTTTATTATTATTGTTAAACAAATAATCTCCAACTGACGTTGCAGCTAGATAGATAATCCTTCAAAGAAACTGCTGTGCCATATAATGTCTACACAGTATAGCCTACAGACTGTATTGCACTATGCAGCGAGCACAGTATAAGTTGAGAAGTATTTCACAGGTAATAAATTAATTATTCAAAAGCTAAATATGCAAATGTACATTTCTAATCACCTCGGTTGTGCATTTGTAAAAAAAATAAAATAAAAAATGAACATCGTTCAGTGCATGAAACGGCTGAAACGTGCGACATGCAAATAGAGCAGAAAGTGAGTGCTAGCACAGGGGGCTGGGTTTAAACGCGCTGCTACTGTAACGCTGCTGGGCTTCGATGTCTGTGCCAGTCTCGCGTAAAACCTTCACAGAAGAGCAATGAGCGCGTGCATGACGGTCTATCGGAGAGCTGCTGATGAAAAAGCGTGATGTCAAGCCACTGTCAGTGTCAGAGGACTGGGGGAATGTGCCGTGCACTTGGCATATGCGCTTGTGAATGACCATCCTCCGGCATCGACAGATGAAGCGTTGAATTTTGCTGCATAGATCAGTTACCCGAAGCCGCGAGGCGACCGTTCATTCATCGTCTTGCATACAAGAAATCGAGGAATTGTGAGAGAATTTTTTTTTTTTTGAAGGTGCTCTCTTTGAGGCGGATCTATGTGGATCTATCTGTCAAAACTGAGCTGAACGCAGAGACAGCTTTTAACTGAACATTAGCTACCATCCTCAGCTTTCTTCTGGATTGCAGGTGAGTGGACAAACGGGCTTCGTGAATTCATTTCAGCCCAGAGATGCTTTACGTGCGAGATGTGGCCACGAATACTAATGTGTTCCGTGCGGTGTGTTAGAGGAAAGCATAGAGAAATGAGATAATGTTATAGGACTGACATTTCTCATGAATCGCAAAGAAGTCGTGGCTTACGAGCAGTTTGGTTAGGATAATGGGATTTAATTTGGTAGTTTTGCTTTATGTATAAATATTTGCTTTTGATGATGTTGGCCACTCTAAACATCGTAGCCTATTCACTTTAGACACAGATAACCTTATCCTCAATGTCACGTTTCAACTTTTTTTATTTAATATGCGAGCCGTAAGTGGTAGCCTAATGATTGTGCACCTATATTAGTTTGAATGAATTTAGATTTTGCGTTCCTTGTATTTTTCCCCACACAATATAAGAGATCAGAATCGGAAATAAAATGTAAATGTTTGTAAATTATTCTCACGTTAGCGAGAAAACATGCAAATAGGAATGTTGGTCATGAATCTTCCTCATGTAGCCTATATGCGCTTTCATAATCCAATTAACTTTATTTTATGGATTTAATTGACGCTCATTTAAAGTGAATAGCCTAACGTTACCTCACACGCTTCACTTTTCGCTCTCCTTGCTATCTTCTTGAATTTTCGTCTACTGAATCTGAATCTACTGAGTCCGTTTAATGTACGACTAACCCCATCATATATTCAGTTTTGTGGGACTCTGTCAAAGAAAATGATACACGTTCAGAATGTGAAACTGGTTGTTGCGGAGTGGTCATAATTCAGCTCTTCTACCTCAAACTCCGCTCTGTTCATGTGGACTGTTGCACTCACAAATCTTCATTTCCCCTCACACACGGCTCTGACATCGGCTCTAAAGAAAATAAATGTTTCTTTAAGTAGAAAATCGGCCAGCATTTGCATGAGAATCACTGGCATCTGCTATGAAGGACAGGGATGATATTAATCGGTCTGACTAACACAATCAAACGGCGCTTTCAGTGAGGAAGATGAGGTGAATCCATCTCGAGCGTGACCTCTTCACATCATCGTTTTTATCTCCGTCTTGAAGCGAAACAGCGGGTTGACCTGAGACGGCGTGTCGGCAGGGTGAAAAACGGTTCATTCACGAACCGAAAGAGCGCGTTGCTAGTGGATAAAGGACGACATTAACCCAGTTTAGATTAAAATTGTATCCACATTTCATTTGAGATGAAAAAATGAAGCAGATAAACCCCAGAGGAAGTCTTAAACGTTTGTATTTCGGTATGTTTCGACTGCGTTTGCAAACAATCTTTTAGTAACCACAAAAGTTAGGTTACAAGTTCGTTGGTGCGTTAAATAGACGCTCACAGAAATCGCGTTCGCCCGCGGAGGTAACCATAGCAACAGTAGACCGCTCGAGCGCCTTCCTGTAAGATCAGTATCGGACGGTACGTTTACATATCACAAATATAGGCCTAATTACAAAAGTGTTTTGTTTATAAGATCTTTAAGATAGGCTAGCTGACTGTTGGATAACTATACAGAATTTAAAAAAAATCACTCTTCACTCAGCTTTTGTTTTATGACACTTTCATTGGGACTGCATATTTGACTGTCTGATTGTCCAATTCAGTTGTAACCCCATAAAGTCATTTAGATGTCTGAATTTTACTTCATATTTCACATTTAATTCCGTGGCAGTTCTTAAGCCATGGGTTCCCATCGTGATGTCATGCACAAGTTATGTTATTTTTTGCCAATTTAGTAATTTTTTCAACTTTTTCAGTGCTGCTCCTTTGTTAATCAGCATGCATTGTGTATTTGGTCCGGTATGCAATGTTAATTTATAATAATGAACAAGCTTTTGATACATTGTTTCATGTGATTATGATTCCGGTGTAGTTTATGCTGACTCTAAAAAGCATTTATTGGCAAATGTAACTTTAGTATAATTGGTTTATACTGCCATGAAGGCCGCCCCGTAGTGTCCTATACACCAATGGTTTAAACATTGCTCATCAGAAAGCAATAAGTGTCACTTATGTAGGTTTGACTCCCCTGTGTATGGCAAAGTATGATTACATTCTGTACGTTGCATTCTGCTCACTATGTGGCTTTGTAGTGTGTTCTCTTTGATGAGGCGTTGAGAGGCAGAGAAAGCTGTAGAGCATCTCTAGATCACAGGCTCTTTAATCAATAAGGTTAACTACACAAAGCCGAGAGGACAAGTCTCCACTGGGTGCACACCCATCAACTTTACCTGCTTCCTCCTTTCCCTTACCTCGCAGGCTCCATGCGGTTTGGTCAGAATCGTAAAGTAAATCAAGGGCCGTCTTTTCCTTATCTCACAGCATGATCTTCCTAAATTGGATTTGTGTGTTTGCTCTGATTGTCAAAAAGCCTCTAGCATTTTTACATAGCGCTGCATACTATTGATTTGATTATGTCAGTCAGGTGCATTAAGCGTTTCCTGAAGGGTAATTGGAGGGTATTATGTGCTTAAAAGCGGTTTGTTCCTCTCTTTTTAGCCGTTGGCTCTCAGATAGATGCATACGTTTAAAAGGAAACTGAGGGTCGATTCTGAATGGGGTGGCCACAAGAGACCCATGCTGAGTGCTTATCCTCCTTGCCCCAGTTAAATGCTGTGCTCGAGTGTGTTAGTTTAGGGGCCAATTTGGATATGTGCTTGTATCTTCTTGGCTCGGACTTTGAGGTCAGCGATATTACCTTATCAGTTCATTCAGACGAGACTCTGCAGCTGTGAAAACGGCAATGTAAAGATCCTAAAGTATGTGCTATCTCATCACTCATCTCTCCCATTGTCCACCAGGCATCTAGTGTTTGCAGAACAGCTCCTTGGTCTCTGGCTTTGACTGAATGTTGAGATGAGTACTTGATGGAAAGTCACAAACAATCCCCCCAGCAACCTTCGAGTAGGCCTACGTAGCTCAGTAGCGCCACCTATTGATGAGTACGTTGCAGCAACAAACCTCCTAAATTTTTTAAGTTAGGAGCACAAGTGCTCCTAAAAAGAAAAGTAAGCGTCGAGCCCTGCCACAGACAGAGGGGCTTTTGAGGTTGGTGGGTCACACATAAGACCGTGCTTGTTTTAGTTGCATGCTGTGTCACCAGCATCATGATGGCATACGGGCTTGCACCGTTTAGCTTAAGAGAATTTGACAAGTTGCGATGCCTCCCATTGTCCACCAGGCATCTAGTGTTTGCAGAACAGCTCCTTGGTCTCTGGCTTTGACTGAATGTTGAGATGAGTACTTGATGGAAAGTCACAAACAATCCCCCCAGCAACCTTCGAGTAGGCCTACGTAGCTCAGTAGCGCCACCTATTGATGAGTACGTTGCAGCAACAAACCACAATGTCCGAAACTACCCAGGGTTCCAGAGTGGTTAACCCACAGACAGAGGGGCTTTTGAGGTTGGTGGGTCACACATAAGACCGTGCTTGTTTTAGTTGCATGCTGTGTCACCAGTGTCGTGATGGCATACGGGCTTGCACCGTTTAGCTTAAGAGAATTTGACAAGTTGCGATGCATGCAGGCGGAATCCTTGACCTATTTCTTAATGAGTGAACAGTACAAATGCATTCAGAGGGCTGCGTTTGCAGTGCAGGCCTTACCACCGTCCCCCCACCACTCGTGCACACAGACAGACTCTTGCACGCTTATGCCCTGCAGGATGGGCTCTTGTCGAGTGAGTTCATCTGCTTCCTTTATGCTAGTCTCATGTGTTAGTGTGTGTATCCAACGTTTGTTTGTTTTAACGCATTGATCTTGCATTCTCTTTTGCAGCGTTGCCTCTCGACTGTTTATCTATGTCTCTCTACCATCCATCTGATCTGTCATAACAAAGATCGCTATCACTCTTGACCTTTATTGCTGGCTTAAAGCGTGTTTTCGGTGTACGCATACATGCATCCAAGTGTACCAAAGTGGAGCCAGATGTGGTGACGATTACAATTATCCTGTGGCATTGATGTTTGGAAGCAGGATGCAGATTCACTGTAAGTAGAAAATGGTGTGCACTGGTCTTCCAAATAGTTAGCTCCAGCTGCCCGGCTTCTCTGTCTGTCTTCGTACTTCGTACATAAACAACCTGTTGTGATAATTTGTTTTCAGCATTGGTGGATTAGGCATGGGGTTGATACGGTGACCCGGCGTTTGGCAACACTGTAATTAGACCTGTGTTTTCTGCTGCAGCTAATTACCCTTGAACAGTTGGTTGACAGACTCTCGCTTGGAAGGTGCCAGGGAGAGAATTGTGGGTGTTGATGCATTTGCAGCTCCAGAGTGTGGGCAAGAGAATCAGACGAGTCAAACATGCGCAGGTGCCAGTCATTCTGAGCACGCTGCCAGTTTTATGCAACATTTTATTAAGAATGCAAACACATGTTTGCCATAAGATCTGTTGTCTATGTCACTCTCCCTAAGCAAAAGTGGTGTTTTCGCTACAAAATTATTTATTCATCCTTGTGTCATTCCAAACCTGTATTACTTAGTTTTTTTCTGTAAAACATGAAAGGCTGTTTTTGTCCATACAGTGACAATGGAGTCTAAAATAACTTTGGACCCTCTTAACTGTCATTCATACAAGCATTATGACATTATTCTGAAATATCTGCTTCTGTATTCCACAGAACAACAAAAGGCATAAGGAATGACATAAGGGTGAATAAATGATGACAGAATTTTCATTTTTGGGTGAATTGTACTTTAGAGCTAACGTCATTTTATGCCACAACACTCCTACTGTAAAAAGTTATATTTAGAGAACCTTAAGGCACTTGTACTCTGTTTTTTTTTGCGCCGTGATCATCTGCAAAAACTGATATTGCTACTAGTAGCTTGTTGAGACCATTTTTGCTTTTGACTATCTGAAATAGTGCTTTCATATGAGCAGCTCAAAACACAGACACAAAAATCAATTGCCTCCCATTTCTCCAATACAAACTCAGACCCTCCACTGCCTTTTAATGAGTGGGCCAA